TGAGGATGGAGAGCACGGAGGACAAATGCCCCCCGCAGAACCTGGTGGGAGAGGCTGTTTTGAAGGGCTCCCCGGCGCAGGAAGGCAGCGGGGAGGAAAAAGCCAGGACATCTCCCCGGAGGAGGGGCTCCAAAGCCAGCCCAGGGTGCTCCCAGGAGGAAAGACTCAGCCTGTGCCAGGAAGGCAGCCGGAGCTTGAGCCAGAGCTCCAAGCTGGTGGTCCCTGAGCAGCCTCCCAGCAGGGAGAAGCCCTTCAGGTGCTTGGAATGTGGGAAGAGCTTCAGTCAGAGCTCCAAGCTCCTCACCCATCAGCACATCCACACTGGGGAACGGCCCTACCCGTGTGGGGAATGTGGGAAGAGCTTCAGGAACACTGGCAACCTCCTCATCCACCAGCGCATCCACACTGGGGAACAGCCCTACTCGTGTAGGGAATGTGGGAAGAACTTTAACCAGAGGTCCAACCTTCTCACTCACCAGCGCATCCACACTGGGGAATGTCCTTACACATGTGGGGAATGTGGAAAGAGCTGCAGGACCAGTGGCAACCTCCGCAAACACCAGCGCATCCACACCGGGGAGCGGCCCTACAGGTGTGGGGAATGTGGAAAGAGCTTCACTGACAGCTCCAGCCTCCACATCCACCAACGCATCCACACTGGGGAGAGGCCCTACTCATGTGGGGAGTGTGGGAAGAGCTTCACCAACAGCTCTCACCTCCACGTCCACCAGCGCTCCCACCTCCCCACCCACATTGGGGAACGACCCTACAAGTGCTGGCAATGTGGGGACAGGTTTCAGACCAGCTCAACTCTCCTCGAGCATGAGCGGACGCACACAGATGAGAGGCCCTTCCACTGCACCGACTGCGGGAAGGAGTTCAAACGCAATTCCCACCTTGTCACCCACCGGCGCATCCACACCGAGGAGAGGCCCTACAAGTGTGGGGAGTGTGGGAAGAGCTACACCCAGAGGTCTGGCTTGACCAGACACCAACAGACCCACCAGTAAGGAAGCCCTATTAGTGCCCCGACTGCAGGAAATGCTTTGGCCACTGCTTCCACCCCGAATGAACCCCCTGGTGCTGAGGCAACCCCTGGAGTCCAATGACTGTCAGTCCATCCCTTTCGACCACAAAGGACCAGTCCCCTTTCCCAGGGGCAGGTTCTTCCAACAGAACCCTTCTTGGGGGGTGTGGAGATTCCTGCCTTGGCTGGGGACCCCCCAAGGTCAGTCCTGGAGGTTGAGAGCAGAGGTCTCCCATGAGCGTTGGTCTGGGGGAGTTACATCCATTTGTAATTAAGAATTCTTGCTTTTGTGCCAGCTTTAGTAGAATTGCTTCAACAATTGCTTTAGGGTAGATCACTGCTCTATCTTATCCTGTACTCCTGGTAGTTTTAGTGTTTATATTGTGCAGTAAGTAATTCTGATGAAGATCTTTTGTCTGATCATTTGGTGCCCTAAATAATTCCTTTCTATCGGTAGATCTGATTTGCCATCATTAAAACCTGGGGGACAAAAGTGGTTCAGTCACACCTCTGTAATTCCTCTAAACTGAAAGTGTTGGCATAATCCAAGGCTGAGGTTGGATCCAGCAGCCCCCAGCACCCCACAGGAAGTCGAGAACTCAGGGGGGCCACCCCCCTTTCCCAACCCCCCTGTGCCCAAAGACCCCCATGGGACCATCTGACCCACCAGCCCACCCTTCCTTTTCCACCCTTCTCCCTGTTCCTTCCACTTTTTCATGGTCCCCTCAATCCCCAGTTTCTCCCCCGAAGAGTTATGGGGTCCCAACCCCCACTTTTTGCCCCCTCTCCTGTGTGTTCTGAAGGAGAAAATGAGGCTGCACACACAGAGTTCCATTGTGGGACTTGTCCGCCAACACTTTTCAGTGTCCCCTTTTATTCCTCTTCTCTTGTTAGCAGCACCTGGTGTTTGTCTTTCAGTCCACCAGAAATCCCAGGATCGCCCCAAAGCAGTGCCCTGATCCCACACATACCCCTCGCCTCACGTGCTGGCTGTGTTCAGCCACCAGAGAAAAACACAGGCTGCCATGCAGAGCGTTCCAAGTGGTTTCCACTTGGCCAACAGCACTCTCTGGATGGAAAACACCAGTCAAAGCCAAAGCACTCCTTGTTGATCCTGATTAACTGAATGCAACTGCCTTAACTTGTTTCCACAAAAACTCTCAGGGTTCCTTTGCTTCCAGGAGGCCCCACATGTCCCAATGGCCCCTCGATTCCATGGAGTTCCGAACTGTCTCAGGAATCCTTTGGTTCCATGAGGCCCCGCATATCCCAGTGCCCCCTTGGTTCCATGAGGAGGCACAGTCTCAGAATTCCTTGGCTTCAATGAGGCTGTGTAGTGTCCCAATGGCCCCTTGATTCCAGGAGTTTCCGCAGTGTCCCAATGGCCCCTTGGTTCCACGAGGCCCTGCAGTGTCCTAATGGCCTCTTGATTGCACAAGGTTTTGCAGTGTCCCAGTGTTCCTTTTTTTCCATGAGGTTCCACAGTGTAACAGGGTCCCTTTGGGGCCATAAGGCCTGTAAGGGAGATATTTTGAATTAGATGATCAATGGAGCCTAGAGGCATGAGAAAGAAATTATATTATGATATGAAACCAGCCAGAGTATTGTACAATGTGCTTTTTAGCAAGTCAACTTTATATCCCCTATTATCAGAGCTGAGTTCTTACTTGGTTTTGCTACATACTGCCAGATGGATACATCTACCCTTGAAACACAATTGTAGAGGTCGTCCATAGGGGTGAGAAAGATGATGGAAGATTCTGTGGGCAGGGGTCGCTCGCCCCTTGCCCTACAGCAGGGCACGTGCAGACTGTTGCTATCAGGTGATGAACAGGCGGGGTTTGGCTGTGTCATGGTTTGAGATAGCCCCAAAATCCAATTCCCTAGCTCCATTCCCCCTCCCACATCTCAACCTAATGTGAGATGGGTTTTTCCAGACAAAACACACCAGACTCAAAGTGGGGGAAAGGGAATATATTACAATGACTGTAGAAATAAATACCATATCACATTATACACATGATCACAAACTATCTCTACCATGACATATGTATTTACAATGATCAGATCTCTTCACCCCTCCAAATAAAAGTCCAGGAGGGAAAGAAGGACAGATCCCTTCCAGTCCTTAAGCAGCAGCATCTTCTGAGGCAGCAGTCTGTCTGTCTTCTCCACATGGAGCAGCTGATAGCTGGCTTTCTGCCACCGTTTCTCTGGTCAGCGCCGGTTGCTGCTCTGCGCCCATGGAGAAAACATCTCCCGGCATAACTACAGACACTTAGTCCAGTCTAACACTGTTCCAGGTCTCTGCAATCCCCCCAGCCAGGGCTGGGAGGGGGCCAGAGGCCCCAAGGGGCTCAGAGCCCCTTCCTCGTGGCTCTACAACATGGCCACCTCTCCTCAACAACCAAAACTACAACTCATCTCTTCCGGTGAGCTTGTGATATGTTTACATTTTTTGCAGGAGCGCCCATTGGGCAGAACTTCAAAACTTCCAGGGGTTTCCACCCCTTGGGGTCTACCACTTTCCTTAGCCTCCTGGGGAAAACAAGATCCAAACCACTACAGATCTGGATATCTTGTGCCTATTTTTTGCCCTAGAATCAAAATTATTTACTTGTTTGAGTACTGATGGGAGGAAGAACTGGGAGATTATCTTAAATCTATGTCCTGGTGTTATCCATAATTTTTTTTCTTTTCTGCTCTGGCCTGGTCCTATTTATTACTGTTTGTGCTCAATTTTAATCCATCAGGTTTTGTTCCAAATTTGAAGACCTGAGCCTAATCCAGTACCCTTACGTGTTGGTCAACCACCCTATTGTTTTCTTGCCCATATCCAGAACTCTTAGTTCAGTAGTTTAGCTTGTTCTGTCCATTTTATACCCATTATCTCAATCTCATTCAAAGCTGTTGTTTCACTGACATCTGTCAGCCCCCACAAAACAAAATACAGTCTCCTCTGGGCTGACTTATTCATGTTCAGTTTCTATCCACACTTAAGGAAAACAAGTAGATTTAGTGTGGATGGAGAAAAAGAGTAAGTGTGTTGTGATAGCCGTAAATTATCCATACTATCTGAACCTAAGATTTAACAAGAACATCCTAACATATAAACATGGATGTCTGGCTCTCATTCACTCAAGTGAAATCATCGCTTTTCATCTTACAGGGACCAGAAACTTTGCCATGCATTGAGGTATGGTAGGTTACATCACTAAGATCACAACTCATTCATGCCAAAGAAGTAGCAATACACCTCAGAGATATCACTAACGTGTTTCAAGAGACCTATTCCACCTAGTTCATATCACAGAAGCACTTAAGCACAAAGACACTAAGGGATCAACAGCAATCTACTCCAGCTTCCAGCCTAAGCCATAATATCCTGACACATATT